CCAGGTTTTTGTGTTTTGAGTGGGATGAGTGTGTGAGCAACTGTGCTATGAATGAAGTGTGGAAGGTAGTACATTCCTGTGGTGGGTTTTTTCTTCTTGTTTTATTAATCTCTGCAGCATTCCTTCATTCATTCTTCTCAGATCTAGGAAAGGACAAATAGGCAAATGTATATACCCATGGAAAAGCTAATGGCAGTTGCAGAGCTATGAATGACTGCGATAGACAAATTAGTCAAACCCAGCAGACGACAATGGTTGGCAAAAGAGAGAAGCACAGGAAATGAGCTTTTAAAATGAGAGAGAGAGAGAGAGAGAGAGAGACTCTTCAGGAAACATTGAGCTAGGCTAGGAAGTTCAGATTCTGAGCTGGCTAATGAGCATCATATTATTGTGAGCTAAATTCCTTATGCTGTTATTTACAGTAATTTTTATTATGTATTTGTTTTTCCCTAAGGTGAGAGAGAATCTAATAAATTATATTTTATTTTACCCTGTCTAGACTGGATAACCCATTTTCTTCATAAGATGACTCAGCCACTTGGTCTCTATGACACAATGGTATGTGATTGTTGTATAAATATTTCCCTCACAGGGAAGAGTGAGAAACTTGTTTTAATTAGTTTAGTGTATTCCCCACATTTAAAGCAACATCTAACAAACACGATTATAAAATATTGCTATGGCACGTGTCACCAGATGGCACTGTTACACATGTTCTTTTTCTTACTGCGCAAGCAAGTGTTCAGTCTTGGGAAGACATGCTGTAGTGTTGGTACTGTTAGTAGTACTTAGAGGGAGCTATGTGAGAGGTGGAGGAGAGTTTGCTCTCTGCATTAGTCTCTGATTACAGTTAATTCTTGAGGCAGAGCTGGTCTCTGGGAATTGAACATTGGTGTTGGGATGAGATTCCTGATAGAAGGGATTGGCCTGCATGCTTTTTGCCTATCTCTATTCTAGGACTTGTGTATATTATGTAAAAAAATCAATTTACACTTAGAATATAGTCAGCCTTGGCATCACTGATTTCTCCTCCACTGGAAAAATCTCTCTCTAAGGCCCCAGACATCAGTAACTGCTTGGCAGAAGGGCAGTGCTAGTGTCAGAATGGGATACTGATGTTGGAAGAAGGGGCGACAATATCAAGGATGTTTCATTCTGCTGAATTTATCTGTTCTCTTTTATGAGGACCATTTCCATATAGGGGAATGGAGTTTTTTGGCTTCAATGTGCAGTTTCCTTTGAATTTTTCCATGGGGTAGGGAGAAGGATGAGGGCATTGGATTTAGGTGAAAAGGGTTGGGCTTCCCTGGAGGTTAGGAGATTCACTTATTAAAGGTGCAGCTGTTAGCAAATGTCAAGAGGCAAATAGCTTTTGTGCAAACTGCCCCCTGGACTCTGTGCTACTGCCCATCTCTCTGGCTTCCTGCAACCCCCTGACAGCTCCTCTTTGTTGCCAGGACTCCAGCCTTCTGACAGTGATTGCCTCTGAACTACTTGGGGGAGTTCCATAGCTTGGTGCAGGAAGAATCATACATAAGGTAAAGTTTTGTGGTTAATGTCTCTGTTTCTTTTGACAGTTTTCTTGTGTGTTTTTCCTTCTTTTGTTATGTAAATTCTTCTATTTATACAACTATATGGAATTTCTTATGTATACTACCCAGTGAGTGTTTTACTTAATATGTATATAGAAATGTTCACAGCTTATTTTGGCCTACATCCAGTACATGGAAAATTATAAGAAAGAGATACAGGGGAGAGTAAATGAAATGAGTTAACATAGATTATATCACCAGGTGTTCACATAATGTCATCTAGGGTAAACTCCTGGCCTCACTGCAATGATAAAGCTCCTATTGACTTAAGTGCAGCCAAGATTTCACCCCTTGAATTTAGGAAGGGACTGGTAGTCAGGACTCCTGTGTTCTGTACCTGACTGTTACATTCTCTCCTTGGGAAAGCTATTTAGTGACACATTTTAAAAAGTTCTCTTTAGTTCTGAGTTTCTCAAACTTTGTTCAGCATCTTTGAAAATCAGGGTGTCTAATCATGGGCACTTAAAATGAAAGAGCCCTTTGGAAAATGGGGGTCTTGCCCTCTTTATAACTCAATTTGCCAACCCATAAAATAGGGATGACACCGCACTGGGATATTGTGCATATTAGTGTGGTGCTCTTTCTAAAGCACATTGAGCTCTTCCTCTGAAAAGTTCTCTATTGAGGTAAAGTATTATTGTTATTAGCATTTGTTATGCGGATGCTGATGGCAGCAAATTTAGCAAAAATTAATTAATTTTGTGGGTGAAGCCTTTTTTTTTTTGTTCATTCCATCTCACATTTGATCCAGTGTCTGAAACTTCCTACCCCTCCCAAGAGCCCCCTTTCATCAGTCCTTCTCTAGAGTTGCCCTTTGTGTCAGGTCTGGTGTTGGTAGTTTTTGTTAGAGCGATTGGGAAATTTTTGACAAAACTGATTGGCGTTACTATCAGAACATTCTGATTTATTTTTTTAAACTAAAACTTTTGGCAGAAATATCTGTTCTGACAAAAAATTCCATCTGGAAGGTTTCTCAGGCCAAGGGTGGAATGAATAGAGAGAGAGCAAGAGAGAGAGAGAGAGAGACCAACACTCCCATATCCCAGATGAATGCCCTAGTCATTGGGCAGTTGGCTGTTTTGGGGGAGGCGCTCTAGCCACCAATGGTTGGCTGTTTTTGTGGGGGGTATCCTGGACACTGGGCAATTGGCTGTTTTGGGGAGCATCCTGGCCACCAGGCAGTTGGCTGTTTTGGAGGGGGTGCCCTGGCCACCAGTGGTACACAGTTTTTTGGGGCGGGCACCTTTGCCACTGGGCAGTGGGCAGTTTTGGGGCCTGTATTCACACATTTCACGTTATTGTAATAATTTTTGTACAGGGAATGCCTTGTGAGGTATTATTTGAAAACACATAACTTGCTGATGAGTAATATCATGGTAAAAATGCATGTAGCAACATTATATGTAAAGTTATGAACATAACCTGAAATCATGACTATAGTTTGTTTCCCAGATAAGTCTGGGGAGTGGCTAAACCAGTTTCTCAAAAGGCAAGCTGACACCCCAACCGGGTGTCAACAAAGCTGATGGGCCATCACCTATCAAATGGCCATTCTTTGGCAAGAAAGGGGGACAGGGACATAGATAGATCTGCATCTTAGCAAAGAAACAGCATGAGGAGTCCTTCCTCCATCAAACCCCCTATCTCTTGGCTCTGAGCTGGAAATGCTTTTCAAAGAGGGGCTGAAACTATAAAAAAGGGTGGAAAGCATCCCAAGACCTCCCCTCTCTCTCCCTACCCATCTCATTCTCTGCAGCTGAGAAAACAAAGGAAAAGAGTCATTGGACTCTGGGAGCAAGGGGGGCAGGTCCTGACCCGAAGAGTTTGGTCAGTAGTGCTGTTGGAAGCATGTGGTCAGAAACTTTATTTGAATCTAATATAATTTGTTAAGCTAGGCAGTAGAAAGCATTTTTATGTTTATTTTCTTGTAACCATTTTTTACTTTTATGCCTCATTCCTTATACTCAAAACCTCTCTTTGTAGTTAATCAACTTGCTTTATTTCATCTAATCCAGTGTGTTCAACTTGGAAGTCTCTGGTAACTCCATTTAGGGTGGCAAATTGTGTATATATGATTCCCTTAAAAGCATACAGACTTAATATATTTGGACTGTCCAGGAGGGGGCTGGGCAGTACAAGACATACATTTCTGGGGGGAAATCTGGGACTGGGAGTGTGTTACTAGCACCCTGTAATATAACCAAGGCTGGTGAGAGCCAGAGTGTGACTGATGGGCTGCAGTTACACAAACATATCTGGGAGTGACCTGCATGCTGGTGGCTGTATGTGAGAGGTCCAGGTTGGGAACTACCACTGTAAGGCAATGCAAGGCACCCCAGGTTGCAGGGCAAGGGTGACAGACCTCACTGGTCTGGATTGCACCCCAGTATGTCACAGGGTGCCTTGGTTATTGAGTGGTTGGCTGCTTTTGGGGGTCCATTGGGCAGTTGGTTCTTTTGGGGGGGGGCACTCTGGCCTTTGGGTGGTTAGTTGTTTTGGGGGTGGCTGCTTTTTTGATGGAAAACTGTTCGTCTTGTTTTTGTTCTGAGGCCGAAGGACACCCTAACATTTGTTGACAGCTGGGATTGCGGGTCTCCGGCCTGCCTTAGTTGTGATGACTTCCCATGTCTCACCTCAGCGGCTTTAAACTTCCTAGGAGTTTTGGCAGCCGCCTGCCGCTGTCCGCGGGTGGCTGGTACTGAAGGCGGGGGAGGGGGGAACCCCTGAGGGCACTGGAAACTACAACTCCCGGCAGGCAGACCCAGTCCGGGAGGGGGCAGGCGGCTGGGGGGCTCCCGGTGCTGCATGTGCTCCCTCTGGTGGGTGTGAATAGCCGGGGCGGGGAGGGGAGGGCTGTTGCCCACTGGCTCCGTCTCGGCTCCCACTGCTACACTCGCGTTCATTCCCTGCCTCTGACTCGCTCTCGCTTCCAGCCAGCCCCCCGCACGGAGGGAGGCAGCTACCGCACACACGGCCGAGGGACTGAGCCCGGCGCGGAGCCGCGGGCTGCACCTGAGCGCCGCACGCTGTGTGTGTGTGTGTGAGGGAGCCAGAGGAGCAGCGCCAGGGGAACACAAAGCGGCTCAGTCCAGCTCGGCAGCGGCTTCCTCTGATCACAGAGAACCAGACACTCGCTGGGAAGCGAAGGGAAGGGGCGGGAGGGCTCCAAACTGCGGCCACTTCGTGGGCTGTGACCAGCCCTTGCTGCTGGGAAGGAGGCGAGGCGCGGTGGGGGCAGCAGCAGCAGCCCGCCCCTCGCTCCATGGCCGCGCAGTGAGCAGGAGCGGGGCACAGTGGCCGTGGCTCTGGAGCTGGCGCTGCGCGGAGAAGAAGCGAGCGAGCCGCCGCCCGCGCGGAAGTGTCGCCCGGCCGGCTGCGCGGCGCAGCATGCGCCCGGCTGCTGCCTTCTGATGCCCAGCCCCGCCGCGATGATCTCCCCAGAGCAGCCGCCGCAGCCCAACCATGTTGTCGCGACCATCGAGAACCTGCCGGCGGAGGGCGGCGCCGGCGGCAGCGGCAGGAGCAGCATCTCCGCCTCCTCCTCCCCCGGCGTGCGCCAGCGGCTCCGGAAAGTGCTGAACAGGTGAGGAGAGGGGCCGGCCCCGGGCGGCGCGGGGAGAGCAGCGCCGCCAGGGCCGGGCAGCGGCGGGCTGGGATCCCCGGCGAGGAGCCGCTTGTGGGGACGGGGAGAGGGCAGGGGTGCCCAGCTCACTGCCCCCCACCAGCCCTCAGAGCAGCGGGTAGCATTTGCCCCCCAGCTTTGCCCCTTGCAGAGCTGGGAGGAAGCAGGGGGAGGGGAGAGCGGTTTGTGCCCTCGGGCTTTTTAAACAGCAGGGCGGCCCGTCCAGTCCTGGAAGCTCCCTCATGGGGCGGGCGGGCGGGGGATGGTGCTGCTGACCCGGGCGTAGGAGGGCAGATGCCACATGTCTGGGGCTCACAGCCAGCCCAAGTCGTCCTGCAGCAACACCAGGGACGGAGGGATCGAGGCAAAGGGTGCCCCAAAGAGGCACGAAAGTGTTAAGAAGAGAGAGAAGCTGGTGGAAGTGACCTTATCTGCCAGGGCTTAGAGCTGAAAGGACTGGGGTTAAGAACCCGACTGCTCCTCCCTGTTCGCTCTCAACACAGGACCGCTCTGCTGACTGTTGGAAGGGGACTTTGCACCATGTACTGTCTAACTGTGGATTCCCTTTTCCCACTCCCTCTCCTTTCAGAGCTGGAAGATGCTAATTTTTACATGCCTAGTGACTCCATCAGGGGGAGAACTCCATAGAATAAACCTCCAAATGCTTAAATTTTGCTAGTTAATCTCATATTCACAGTGTACAATCAACAAGAAATAACAGTAGGCTCCATGTTATACAGTCTGCAGTTTTGATTTTTAATGGAGAAATCCCTAAGGAATTGCACCAGTTTAGCTGAGTGGAGGTATGAGCTTGAAGTGGGAGGATGTAGAAACAGAGCTGTAAAATTGTCATAGCTGAGGTGATCTGGCTAGTCATTATTTGTGTGTGGGTTTACTGTGTGTGCGTGTGTACATATAATATCCAAAACAAACAAAGTCTAATGCCTCAGGAGATTTTAAATGGGTCTGGATTCGTTGTTGCCTGATTTCTGGTTACTTAAGCCAGTTTGCATTGTCAAGATATGTGCCCTGGCATCAGAAGTGAAGTGTTGGTGAGATTCTAATGGGCAGATTTGCCTATGCATGTGGTTCAGAATTGTGCATGCTAAGATACTATGACTATAAGAAGAATGTGTTAGATGATGCAGCAAAAGAAGAATGAATCCAGTGAAACATTAGATCAATTTATTTAATTTTTGTGTTTTCCCTTTGCAAATTACTTGTTTCTTCTACCTTGGATACTAACATATCTAATATTTAAAGAATCCAAAACAATGGCTGTGATTAAATTTCCCCATAAGAATGGGAGATAAATAATTCAGCAGCATACCATCTCATTTCTAGCAGGCCATCTGAAGCTATCACTTTTGTGTATGCACAGTTTTACTTGCCCTACTGGGCAACTGCCGCACTGCTGACACCTAAGGGAAGGTGTGTATGAATGTTCACATCTCACATTACACCCACATTAGTTTCACACAAGTGCAGCCTGGGTAAACAGCTAAGAAAAAGCCCAACACCGCTTTTGGAGACAGAGTGCCTTTACTCTTCCAAGCTTTTAAAAATTTGGAAGCAATGATTGTTACCATCAATCCTGAAGGTATTTGTCTGATTCCTCAGGGAACCCTGCCTTTACTTTTGATTAATGAATTCTGATAATTCTAGGAGGATCTTAAAAGCATTTCTTAACGAGAAAATATATTTTTACTTAGTTATTCAAGAATATAGAAGATTGAAGAATAGTTGAAACAAATAGAATCTTATCTGCACAGACTCAGAGACTCAATGCCATATTCTCCAGATGCCTCAATCCAACTGAACCATGATGGTTCTGCTGTATGGGCAGTGGGCACACAGAACTCTGCACCCCTTCTTGATAGAGATGGGCTCTTTGGTAACTCTGCATAAGCCACTGCAGATGGGAATTTGTGAGGGGAGGGAAGCAGTAGAGGTGTGTGTGTGTGTGTGGCCAGGGGAAAACTTTTTTTTCCTCTAAAAAAAAAATTTCTCCAGGCCAGGATATGTATGAAGGAGAGAGAAACACACACACACCAGAATAGCCAATAATCTAGTAGCTAGGCTACTCACCTAATTTGGAACAGGGACTTGAACCTGGGTTTTCCATATTCCAGGGTAGGTGCTGTACCAGCACAATATAGATTCAGACTATCTCTCAGACCCAATGAATATTTAATTATTTATATAAAATGGGACAGCTCCAGCAGGAGAGATTGAGGATAAGTCTTCAGGCCAACCAATAGCTTGGTGGTCAGGCACTCACCTGGAAGGGAGGGTTTACTAGAATTACTTTGAACATAAACTCTGAGCAAGTTTTGAACCTAAGTTTCCCACATCCCCATGGAGGGACCTAACCACTATGCTATTTGGATGTGAGGGGCAGCTCTTGTTTTTTCATGGAAAATTTCAAAAGGTTTCTTTTTCATTGAAATCAGCAATATGAACAGATTTTGAAATCTTGATGTTTTTCAAAAAATTGAATTGTTTTCTAACCAGCCCAAGTGACCAGTGGGTCAGATACACAGGCCACATGCACCCCTACTCCAGCCTATGGACAGGAATAGTGACCACAAAAGGGTCTTCCAAGTGGACTCTACCCTGCCCATGACCATGAGGTACTAGATTGGTTCTTCCAGCCCATGTAGTTCTTCTGCTAACATGTGGGCTTTGTATATGTGAATCTTGCCCATTAGTGCATTTATCAAGGGCCAAATTGATATTTTATTTATTTTAATTTATACCTAAATAAAATGACAATATCCCAAGCTCTAGCACTTCTGACAGATTATTTTAAAACATTCCATACAAAAAAAATAATTAAGGGTTGTTATCTCTGTGGAGGTCAAAAATAGCCTTTTCTTACGTTAGAATAACCTGTAGCTCCATCCTGCAGTAAGTATCAATGGAAATTTTACCTGAGTTTTAGTCACTGTTTAAACGGGAAAAATCTAAGAGCTCAGTCCTGTATAATGTCATGGCACTCATGCAAATATCTCCACGTGAAACCTAACAAAGCATTTTTGCTTTCATGTGCTATGAAAGGTAAAATGCAAATATAGAAGGGGAAGGAGGGAATAGAAATATCAAAACCAGAAGCCAGTACTAATTGCTCTGCATCAATACATTTTCCTCTGTTGGAAAAGTGGTGCCCATTGTATTTTATCTGTGACTCTTATCTACCATTTGTTTGGGACATTTGTGAAATGTTATTTATTTGAACTTACTTGGGCTATACTTCTCTTTCCTGCTTAGAGAAGTCTCCTAGAACAAACAAAATAACAGGCTGGCACCAGCAGAGTTTACCAAAAACTTATTTGCAGTCTGGAATTGGCCTGGTTGGGGAGGAAACTGCCAGCAGGAGAAGGGCACTCTTAGCAGTTGTGAACTCTCTCTCTCACGGAGAGAAAGAGAGAGAGAGAGAGAGAGAGAGAGAGAGTAATTCAGTCACCTGGTGAATCCGGAATTGTCTTCCAAGATTTCTCTTAAAATTGCTTTACAAGCTGTGAAAGCATATGGAGGAAAGGTTGAAAGGTGAAGTTGAAACATTCCCCCAGTAAGTTCCAAGATTAGAAGGCAATGTGGACACTGTGGAAGAAAATCTCCAAATGGTTACAGAGGAAAGAGATGTATTGAAAACGGGAGTGGATGGCTTTAAAAATCTATTTCAGTGATCGCTAAGAGTGCCTGTCTTACTGTAAGGTGGGCAATAGCAGAAAACCAAAGTATACAATTAAAAATTGGAGGGTGCTCAGCATCAAAGAGGGATAGCGGGATTGAAACAGGTAATGGAAGGTGGGGCTTACTGGAATTATATATACATAAATACATATATATGCATAAATTCTGAGCTGCCATTAATGGTGAAAACGATCTACCATATTTTGAACAAACTCCCTGTTATTTTTAAAGCCGTGGTATCCAGAGAGAGTGGCTCTCAAGACAGTAAGTAGTGTTAAGGGTTGAAAATTGTGTTTGATCCTGAACTGAAAATGTGTTCCTGACTCATGTCCTGCAAAGTTTAAAATGAAGTGTTTGAACTAGGCCCATTGTTATGAGGAGAAGGAAGGGGGGTATTCTATCCTCCACTATCTTCCATGCTGGCCCTGCAGCCCCAAGGGAGGTTTTCATGTGAGCTGAGCGAGCTCTGAGCAGCTGCTGTTCCTTTTCTGCTACAACTGCTCAGCAGTCCCCTGCTGACCATGTGGTGCTTTGCAGTTGAGGGAGGAGAGTAGCTGTAGCTGTTCCATTGCTTCCTTTCCCCCTGGGCTGTGGGATCCAGGACTGGAACTCAACTGGCTCCGTCTGATCCTAGAGGACCACCTAGTAAACAATGGCTCCCCTCTCCTACAGCCATCCGGGGCAGCACAGGAGAGGAGGAGGAAACTTTCTGATGCCCACCATTCAAGAAGGATGTTGAAAAATAGGAGAGGATTCAGAGGAGAGCCACGGGAATTATTAAAAGATTGGAAAACATGGCTTATAGTGATAGACTCAAGGAGCTCAATCTATTTCAGGTTAAGAGAAGGAAAAGAGAAGGTTAAGAGGTAACTTTATTACAGTCTATAAATACCTGCATGGGGAACAAATGTTTGATAATGGGCTCTACGGTCTAGCAGAGAAAGGTATAACACAGGGATCGGCAACCTTTGGCACGCGGCTTGCCAGGGTAAGCTCCCTGGCGGGCCGGGCCGGTTTGTTTACCTGCTGCGTCCGCAGGTTCAGCCAATTGCGTCTCCAAGCCAACGGGGGCGGTGGGAAGCGGTGGCCAGCACATCCCTTGGCCCGCGCCGCTTCCCGCAGCCCCCATTGGCCTGGGACGGTGAACCGCAGCCAGTGGGAGCCGCGATCGGCTGAACCTGCGGACGTGGCAGGTAAACAAACCATCCCGGCCTGCCAGCAGATGGGCTGCATGCCAAAAGTTGCCGATGCCTGTTCTATTGCCT